GTGAGAAAAGATTTCTTGCTTACATAGGTAATATCTATGTGTAAAAGCTAATGGGGTCAGGGGGGAAATCATGTGTTCTAAATTGATTTGGCTTTTTAAGTTTTATTGAAAAGAGTTAGCTCTCTCTAGCTATTATTATAATTATTATTTATTTTAAAATGAAGTTATAAGTATTTATTTTTTATGACTATCTTTTACATGGTAGTTTTTTAAAATTATTTCATTTATTTATCTATTTTATTTTTTATTTTCATATACATAACAGTAAAATTGTCTGTTTAGCAGTTTATATGGGTTATTTGTCTATATTGTTTAAGGATGCAGTTTTATATAGCATACAATTTTTTTTTAACTCCATGTAACATTTATTTTTTTCAAAATATTTTTTGTGCACCTGTGCTAAATGAATACAGAATCAGATAAGAGATGTACATCCATTATGTAATTTACAATTAGAATTCTCACAGATGCACACACACGGACGCACACACACGCACATGGTCACACACACGCACATGGACACACACACGCACATGGACACACACAGCACATGACACAGCACATGGGCACACACACGCACAGACACACCCACACACGGACACACCCACACACGGACACACCCACACCACACACACACACACCACACACGGACACACGGACACACCCACACACGGGACACACACACGGACACCCCACACACGGACACACCCACGCACGCGGACACACCCACGCACGCGGACGCACGCGGACACACCCACACACGCGGACACACACCCACACACGCGGACACACCCACACACGGACACCCACACGCGCGGACACCCACACGCGACGCGCGGACACACGCGCGGACACCCACACGCGCGGACACACCCACACGCACAACAACACACCCACACGCGCGGACACACCCACACGCGCCACACCACACGCGCGGACACACCCACACGCGGACACACCCACACGCGCGGAGCGACACACCCACACGCGCGACACACCCACGCGGACACACCACACGCACACACGCGCGACACACCCACACGCGCGGACACACCCACACGCGCGGACACACCCACACGCGCGGACACACCCACACGCGCGGACGCACACACCACACGCGCGGACACACCACACGCGCGGACACACCCACGCGCGGACACACGCCGGCGCGGACACGCGCGGACACACCCACACGCGCGGGCACACGCGCGGACACGCACACGCGGACACGCGCGGACACACCCACACGCGCGGACACAGCGCGGACACACCCACACGCCGCGCGCGGACACACCCACACGGCGCGGACACGCGCGGACACACCCACACGCGCGGACACACCGCGGACACGCGCGGACACAACCCACACGCGCGGACACACCACACGCGCGGACACACCACACACGCGCGGACACACCCACACACACACCACACACACACACTCTCACACACACACTCACACTCTCACACACTCACACTCTCACACTCTCACACTCTCACACTCTCACACTCTCACACTCTCACACACACTCACACACACTCACACACACTCTCACACTCTCACACACTCTCACACACTCTCACACACACTCACACTCTCACACACACACACACACTCCTCTCACACTCACACACACTCACACTCTCACACACACTCACACTCTCACACACACTCACACTCACACTCTCACACTCTCACACACACTCACACTCTCACACTCTCACACACACTCACACTCTCACACACTCACCACTCTCACACTCACACTCACACACACTCTCACACTCTCACACTCTCACACACTCACACTCTCACACTCTCACACACTCTCACTCACACTCTCACTCTCACACTCTCACTCACACTCTCACACTCTCACTCACACTCTCACACTCTCACTCACACTCACACTCTCACTCACACTCTCACACTCTCACTCACACTCTCACTCACACTCTCACACTCTCACACACTCACACACTCACACTCTCACTCACACTCTCACACTCTCACTCACACTCTCACTCACACTCTCACACTCTCACACTCACTCACACTCTCACTCACACTCTCACTCACACTCTCACACTCTCACTCACACTCTCACACTCTCACTCTCACTCACACTCTCACTCACACACTCTCACTCACTCACACTCTCACACTCACTCACACTCTCACACTCTCTCACTCACACTCTCACACTCACTCACACTCTCACACTCTCACACTCTCACTCTCACACTCTCACACTCTCACTCACACTCTCACACTCTCACTCACACTCTCACACTCTCACTCACACTCTCACACTCACACTCTCACTCACACTCTCACTCTCTCACTCACACTCTCACACTCTCACACTCACACTCTCACCACTCTCACTCACACTCTCACACTCTCACACTCACACTCTCACACACTCACTCTCACACTCTCACTCACACTCTCACTCTCACTCACACTCTCACACTCTCACACACTCTCACTCACACACTCTCACACTCTCACTCACACTCTCACTCACACTCACACTCTCACTTCACACTCTCACTCACACTCTCTCTCACTCACTCTCTCACACTCTCACACTCTCACTCACTCTCACACTCACACTCTCACTCACACTCTCACTCACACTCGGACACACACACTCACACTCACATCTCACTCACACTCTCTCACTCTCACACTCTCACTCACACTACCACTCTCAACTCACACTCTCACACTCTCACTCACACTCTCACACTCTCACACTCTCACACTCTCACTCACACTCTCACACTCTCACACTCTCACTCACACACACTCTCACACTCTCACACTCTCACTCAACTCTCACTCAACTCTCACACTCTCACTCACACACACAACACGCGGACACACACACTCACACTCTCACTCACTCACACACACACCACACACACACACACACACTCACTCACTCACTCACTCACTCACTCACTCACTCACTCACTCACACACACTCACACTCACACACTCACACTCACACTCACACTCACACTCACACTCACACTCACACACTCACACGCACACACGCACACATACGCACACACATACACATAAACGCAGTAAAAAACATGCATTAGAAAAAATGAATGACTGATTATGTGAATAAAGAATGGGTGCAAATGTGTGGGAGTATATGTTTTGTAGAGAGGTAGAAACTTCTCTAGCACAATTCAGTACAAAAATCTTCATGCTGCCAGTTTCTCATGCTTGGAATTTCTATGCATCTCAGATCACTTTTCACGTGTAATTCTCTCTCTCCTCTCTTTCTCCTTTCCTCTCTTTTTCTCTCTTTTCCTCTCTCTCTCTCCTTTCACTCCCTTTCCTCTCTCTTTCTCTCCTTTCCTCCCTTTCCCTCCCTCCCTCTCCTCTCCTTTCCTCCTCCTTTCTCTCTCCTCTCTTTCCTCTCTCTCCATCCTCCTCTCTCCTTTCCTTCTCTCTCTCTCTCTTTCCTATCCTTTCCTCTCAGGTTTCTCCCTCTCTCCGTATCTCTCTCCCTCTCTCCGATCTCTTCCCTCTTCTCCCTCTCTCTATCTCTCTCCCTCTCTCTGTATCTCTCTCCCTCTCTCTCTCTCTGTATATCCTCTTTGTATCCTCCTCTCTTCTCTCTCTGTATCTCTTTGTATCCTCTCTTCTTCCTCTGTATCTCTCTTCCTCTCTCTATCTCTCTCCCTCTCTCTTTGTTATCTCTCTCCCTCTGCTCTCTGTATCTCTCTCCCTCTCTCTGTATCTCTCTCCCTCTCTCTGTATCTCTCTCCCTCTCTCTGTAATATCTCTCTCCATCTTCTCTCTGTATCTCTCTACCTCTTCATGTCATCTCTTCTTCCTCTTCTCTCTCTCTGTGTCCATTCTCTTCTGCACTCTCTTCTTGTGTCATCTCTTCTTGGTCTTCTCTCTCTATCTCTTCTCCTCTTCATCTCTCTGTGTCATCTCTTCTCCTCTTCTCTCTCTCATCTGTGTCATCTCTTCTCGCTCTTACTTACGTCCTGTGCATCTCTTCCTCCTCGTTCTCTCTCATGGTGTCATCTCTTCTACCTCATTCTGCTCTCATGATGTCAATCATCTCTCCACTCTTCTGCTGCTCTGATGTCAATTCATCTTCTTCACTCATTCTCTCTCTCTCTGTGCCACTCTTTCTCCTCATCTTCTCTCCTCCGTGTGTCATCTCTTCTATCCTTCTTCTCTCGTAGTCAATCTTCTTCTCCTTATACTTCCTCTCTGTGTCATCTCTTTCTCCTCTTCCTCTACTAGGCCATCTCTATTAAAAATATATGTGTCTACTCTTCTCTCCTCTGTGTGCACTACTTCTTCCTATTTCTCTCCTCTGACACTTGTTCATCTCTTCTCCATATTATCTCTACTCTGTAGTCATCTCTCATGTCTCCTCCATATCTCTCTCGAGAACATAAATAACAAAAAAATGAATGTTCATTAACTTCTCACATTCTTCTCTCATCTGTGCATCTCTCTCCTACTTCTCTCTCATAAACTGGTGTCATCTCTTCTCTCTTCTCTCTCTGTGGTCATCTCTTCTCCTTCATCTTACTCCTCTTCTCTCTCTGATGTCATCTCTTCTCCTTCTTCCTCCTCTTAACTCTCTCTGTGTCCATCTCTTTTTCGTCTTTCTTCTCCTCTTTCTCTCATCTGAAATTCGTGCTGTCATTCTCTTTTTCTCCTCTTCTCCTTACTTCGCTTCTACAATCTGATAGTGTTGTCATTCTCTTCATACCTATCTCTTATTCTTTCTTCTTCTCCTCTTCGCTCTCCTCTGTTCCAATCTCTTTTTCTCCTCTTCTCCTCTTCTCTCTGTCAATTGATACATCTCTTCTCTTCTCTCTCTGTGTCATCTCTTCCCTACACTTCATCTCTCGTATCATTCTCCTTTCTCTTACTTCTCTCTCATCTGTCATTGGTCATCTTCTTCTACTCTTAATCTCTCATTCAAATGTGTCAGTTTCTCTTC